TCCTCCGAGCAGAGGCGGGGATGCTGGTTCCTCTCGGGAGGCGGCAGCACAGCCAGACGCGATCGGCATCCGCAGCTCGGCGCTTGGAACTGCGGTGGGGTGGCAGGGAGGACGAGGAGCCGTCCGTGCGGGATGCCTTCTGAGGTGGAACTCCTTAGTCGGGGGTGAGGATTACGATGGGGAGCACCACGGGGGTGTTGGTGCATCGGAAGGATGGCCTCAAACCCTTCCCTGAAGCGGAGCGGAACCAGCCCGGCCTCCTCATCGTAATGCGCTGGGGTCCGTCCATGCTGACCACATTTCCCTAGCAGCTGCAGCTGGTTTCTCAGGTGTGATGTGGGGCTGGGACGCCCTCTGTGGAGACAGTGTCCTTCACTGAGTCTAGGGCCACACTCCCAGCTGCCCTTTCTCATGTGTTGGGAAAGGCTGTCTGCGCAAGACTGGGCACAGTATCATGGTTTTTGCAAGCACCTACTTACCTGCAAGCTGCCATGACAGTTGTATGTTGTTTTATCTGCAAGCTATCAAGCAGCTTTAGGTCAAATACCATGAGAAAGCAAGAGCAACAGTTAGTCACCATTCTGTTAAGCCTGCTCCTCTCTCAGAACCTCATCTGTTCTTTTTAGCTAGATTATTGGAGGCTGGAGGCTCCATTTCTCTCCTGAGGTTTTAGTAATGGATAGAGAAGCTGGGGGTACTATATGGGGTATAATGTGACCATCATCTGGAAAACATGCACAGAGGCAGGGGTTTTGGGTTTCTGCTGAAACCAAGCTCAGTCCAGTCCAAAAATCTATGGGATATATTGCTTAATCTGCCCCTTTGGCTCTGTCCTTTGAATTCAGCGTTCCTATGCCAAGCACACTGAATCAGCTGGGGATGCTGCAGAGCCTTGGTGGGAGGTTGTTTGCTCACTTCATGAGCTTCAAGAAGTTTTGTCGCAATGTGGAAAGATGGTAGATTCCGTTTTGCCCCGACAGTCATTTGCGAATGCTGTTTGTGGGCTTGGGCACCCAAAAGCAAAGGGTGCTAAAATCCCATTTTAGTAAATTCAGATGATTTTAGTAGCATCAGCAAACGGAGTGCAGCCAGCCAGCCCTGCAATTCTTTAAAAAGTAATAAAATGCACTTTCTTTTTACTCCTTGGTTTGCAACCACTGAACGGGAACTAGTCTTATATGCCAGGTAATTCCTGCTTGAAGCTGCTTAGGGCACCATTGAAACCACACCTTAAGCAGACAGCACTGAGAGGGCGAAGCGCAGAAAGGCAGCAGAAAAAACTTAAGGTTTGTAAGCACTTAGAAAGGGGCCACCTCCCTTTTTCCCCGCTTTTTGCTCCTGGCGGTTTTGAAAGGCCCATCCCTGTTCTCCTGCCTGTACAGCAAAGGAAAGTTGTTGCTCTGAAGAGCACTTGAAAGTGTAGCGATTCTCTCCTCTCTTTCAGAACAGTTTCATTCCTGAGAGTGACCCGAGTGCCCCAGAGAGATCCCATGCCATCGGTGTGCGTGCCGAGGATGAGCCATGGTAAGAGACGACGCACCACTCATCTTGTCCATGGGGCTGGGAAGTGGAATGGGAAAGGCTCAGGCAGTGAGGACTGGAAAGCAAAGCAACTTTTCCTGAGTGCATTCTCCTTCTGACTCAGTTCTGGGGGATCGGATCCTCTCCCACCTGTGCAGATCCCTCTGCTCCGGTGCCTGGGAGAGACAAGCTTTGTCGGCACCACCACCAGGCCTTCTGCCCAGTCCCCACGTGGGTGCAGCTGTGGAGAGCCAGGGCTGCAAGCAGCTGCCCCTGCGCTAGCGGCTCCGCAGCAGTCCAGCCAGGCACACACATTCAACGGCAGCATCAACAGGGGGATCATCTGGGGAATAAATCCCACGCAGGACAAAGCTGGTGGCTGCAGAAAAAAACACACCAGCAGAAGGGACTGTAAAGGAGAAGGACAATAACCAAAGTGAAAGACACTGGGTTTGGAAGGCAATTGCACTGGAGTCACCAGGTTGTTGGTACCTTGCCTTTCGGAAGAGTTTTTGACAACTGGGAAAAGGAGTTTGTCTCATTTTAGTTGGGACTAAACATATTCAGAGCAGTTGTCATGTGCCACCAAGTCTGTCTGTCCCCTTTTCAGCTTGGCAGACTCCTCTTTTTCCCCTGCATGTCCTGGTGATTTGAAAAATGATCCATTCCTCAAAGCATCCCTGGTAATTTGGACCACAGTGCTACATTTCTTTTGAGGCTGACACTTTTCAATGCTGCAGCCCTTCTTTCTGCAGCAGCTACTGACACCTCTCTATAACATACACCCCGAGGAGGGGGAAAACAGGTCAGAGGGGCTGCGCTTTTCCTAGGAGGAAAGAAATCAGAGATTGCACTAAAACCAACAGAAAACAGATTATTTCATGTGCAGCAAAGAGGGTAGCTCAGACCTCTTCATGAAGTGCAGGAATATTAGAGAATACCATCACTAATCCCACTGTTCGAAGCACACTGGAGATACCCTAACCCACTTCCCATTTTTGGGGAAGTGCATAGATGTATCAGTATACATTAATTAAATAAACATGCAGATATGTGTTCTCTTCTGCACAAGATTTTCTGTCTTTTTTCCTGAAAACACCACCACCTTTTTAACAGGACTTAACTCAAGATCTGCATAGCTATATTCTTTTTGCTGCCAGAAAGATAAATCCAGACCATATATGATTGCTGGCTGCATGGCTTTTACCCATTGGCAGCCATCTCCCCGTGGTGACATCAGCTGAGGTGGGAAGACTATAATTTTACATTGTACTAGTCATTTAAAGTGAAAATGAACAAGTTAACATTTCCCTGGTATGCATATACCCTACTGCACGTTTGTTCAATGTCCTGGATTCTTACTGAGTAATGTCCTACTGGGGACATGACCATACAGATTTAGGGTTAAAATTCATGTTTCCATTAAAAAGAAAATCTTGCAAATTCTGCTTTGAAAAGAGCTATTTTCTTTGAGGCAAAAAAAATTAATTTTCTCAAGCATTCATGTCTCATCTTCAAAACACTCCTTTGCAGTGGCCTTCGCACTGCAGTCCTGAATAAGGAGCAACAGGATGAAAAGCTGAATCTGTGCCGCTTCATTTTGTCAGCAACAAGAGATGAACCATCACTGAGCAGCATCTGGGGGAAGGGGCAGTTAACTGAAATGGAAACCTTCCATGTAGATAACTAGAGGTGTCACAGGGTATATAAATGAGAGAGCATTTTTCTTCTGCAAACTTACCTCTACTCTCTGCGTGTTATCTTTCGGGCTCAGCCTGACCCTGCAAACGTTTAGGTATGTGTTTAACTCAAGGTACAAGTGCTCCATGTCTTTCAAATGTGAATCCCATTGAAAATGATTCCAACACATTCAACGGCAGCATCATCTTGTCCTTACTGCAGGCCCCTACTTTAAATTAAAGTTTATTTGGAGACTGATGGACTTCCCAGCCCAGCAGGCACTGTATCTCAGGTAGAAGCTGAATGCATACAGCGAGATGGATATGATGGAGCCAGTCTGGAACCGTGCTGTTTGGCCCAAATGCTCATGATAGTTACGGTATACGTATTGCTTGCCTGTATGCATATAAAAGAACGCCCTTTCTATGCTTCGTAACAGCTCCATCCTTCCCGCATCCATGCAGCAACATGGTGTACACACTGACTTACAAGGGTCAACTCTGCAGAGAGAGAGCATGTCTACAAGGACCTGCAAAGCTGGGTGACATTTCAAGACCTGCTGCTGCCCTGCTGGGGAGGATCTTCCCCTCCTCAGTCTCCACACCTCGGGGAATGCCACGACCGACCTTCTCAGAGCAGCACTCCGAGCTGCGCTGAAGGTGAGCAGAAGCTCCCAGCTCCCACGGCCGTTGTCTCCATATTTGACACGGAACAGGCAGGGCTTGGGCAGCTCTAGCACCACGAGTAAAAACCATGTTAATTATAATTATTGTTAGCCTCATTTGCATGCTAAAAAGAGCAGTCTGGACAATGTGAATTCTCTCTAGAAATTCGATGTTTTGTTTAAAAACCAAACCCGGGCTGCTAGGGAGCACCAGGGCACAGCAGTAAGGCCAAGGGCCCTAGCCCGTCCAGCACTCGCGGGAGATCAGTCACGACGGGAGAAACCCAGCTGAAAGTTCATTCGGGGCCGAAGCCCTCCGCAGCAGGGCGGCCAGACGAACGCCGAGCGACGCTGGCGAAGCGCTGAGCAAGAACGGCGG